CCGCCGGGTGGAATGAGCGCCTGGTTTGAAAGAGTAGGCGTCTACGGACCTGCTAGATTGTCCCTGGAGTCGATACGATTCAATCTGGATGGGGAGTGATTGGTGCTCATTCAGGCAATCTCTGAGCTGTGTGTCGGCGGCAGGGACTGGCTGGAAAGTCTTGTTGGTTTATTGATGGCAGAGATGAAAGAACGCTGAATAAACCCAAACATTGTGTGGCGATAATATTTTGCGCCTGGAGGATTAGCGTGTGGCGTTGACGTGGACCACGCTTGGACCAGTCCATTAGAAATAGACAGCCTAGAAAATAATTCTATCTTGAGGGCGCCATTAATAATTGACGGGGGTGAATTTGGGCTCAAACGAGGATTCTGAGAAGAAAAGAGTACTCAAATTGCTTAAAGTAGACAGGTGAAGTGCTTGACGGAATGTGAATACAAAGATGGATGACATAATTCCCTCTCTTATTGATTAAATGTACATTATTATTTTTTATTTTAATCCATGGAGAGCAAGGCACATCATCACGTGCCAATGTGGTCGATATTGTTATAGTCACGAAATAGGGGAAATAGAGGAAAAGCCACATTATTCAAGTTCCTTGGGGAGGATGTCATCCCTTTATTGCCTTATTTTTTGGTCAAAAAGCGGTTGTGTTGAGAGTATCGGTCCCTGCACATGAATAATAACACATAATTATCATAATAACAAGATAAAACTTTAAAAACCCCATTATTTACATTTAAGAAACCAAACTTCGTGTTCGCATACTAAATTTCTTTCTTGAAGAAACAGTCACTTCTCCCGGACTTCACATCGTGTTTTACCCTTGATCGACTTGTATCCACCCTGACCATGAACCCCTAAATGTCAACTCAAGCGGCAATATTTAACAGTCTCCGAAGCGATCTCCCCCGAGAATGTTCCCCTCCGCACCGCCACACCGCGTTACCCACTGTTCCCTCGTCCGCGCGATCCATACATTACAGCCGTTGTCTTCAAGGTCAGGTATGTAATAACCCATCGCTGTTGGCATTGCCTGAGGCAGTGCGTCAAGACACTCAGATCCGACATCCACGCAGCAGTTACGTGCTCAGTTTCACCCTGGGCCTGCATCGCCTGGGCTAGGGGTCAAGTTTGATTAGTATCGCATGTCTCATCACCGGAAGCAGTTGTTCACAATTCTAGTGCAGTACTGGGGCCGGGATACACAGAAAATCTCCTTTTCAAATGAAATTATTGAGGATGTACAAATGAGTCGTGAAGGGGATAACCACGGAAGCTGTAATTAAAGAGCACGGGTATAGGAACGCCGTTATAAGCAACGACCTTCAAAATGATTTGTATCTTGTTCTGAACCCATCTTTCCATTGTAATCAAACTTCGTACTCAAAGCGAACATGTGGCACTATCATTATCAACGAAAAGTCAATCTAAGAATTAAATTAAATTAAACGGGAAAACTTTATATACATGTACGTGAATTAACGAGCACATTGCACTGTGCCATGCATTTTTACTGCAGCCGACTCCCGATGCTCCTGTATCATAGCGCCCTCTTGTGGATATTATAACTGTCCAAAGGTAAACTGAACTAAACCGCTTTATTTTGTACTGCAAGTATTTTGAATGAAACGAGAGTACTTAAAGGTTGACTTTACGAAGTACAACCAACAAATAATAAGGTCAAACAAATTAAAACATAGACTTATTGGGCGGCTGCTTTACCGTGGGCATGATGTCACAGTGCAAGTCCTAGTATCATAACGAGTACATTTCTACTGGACACAAAAATTAAAACTCTGAAATTCGACTTTTATGTACATAATTTTTTTTTTATTGACACTTTACATTATGACAGCGTGACACACGACTTCCGTCATATGATTCATTTGCGGAAGCGCAAATGACTTTGAGTGACGCCATACATCTCATCGGTACGCGGTGATTGGTCGACGCGATGTTAAACGACTACCCGTATCGACTCAACAACCAATCACATCGCTCTGTTCTAACCCCGCACGGAAGACGTCACACACATTTACGTCCAATTAGAGGGCGTTATAAAATCCAACCTGTACCAGCTAGCCAGCGCCCTTGGGCCGGGTACGTACATGGGTGATGGAAATGATTTTCACTTTCAAAGATTTTCGTTTGCCTTTCTAAATATAAAATAAATATCCTGATATTTAGTCCTTGCGGTCTGCAATACATGAATGATAGCTCAATTCATGAATACAATATTTGTGATAATTTATTTTGTTCATAGTGCTGTGAGTGTGAGGTAACTAGTGTTCGAATGAAAACAGCTGTCAATCACATTCATTTACGTAACTTCGTTCTCCCCCAATTAAGTAGTAACACTCAAAATCACATCTACATGTATACTATATTCCGTCAAAGACAAAGAGAAATTTGAAAACGATTTCTTCTTTTCAAGGAAAATAGAATTATTCTGACTTTCGAAAAATACAAGAATGTTACTAGCTGAAAATTTCTTAAACACTACCCGACAAGTTTTAATTTTTTTTTCGAGGAAGATTGTACATCTCCTGTCTATGACATGCAAATTGGATTATACGGACGGGCAGCCAAGTTTACGTCTTTCTGGTTTGAAAGGCACAGGACAATTACTAGTGTCCAATAGCTGTAACTAGAAATATAAAATGCAAAATGGCTTCCAAACATTTACATGCGCCTGTGAAACGAACAATTGAATTGAAAAAGCTAACTCTGTGTCACAACCGTCCAACAGCTTCAGAATTATTACTTTAAGTTGGGTCACATGTAAATCACAGGGCTATTCCTACTTCAGGTCCCATGGATGATCTGTAAACAAAGGAGTGCTGTGGTCACGTGATTTGAGCACATGGAGCTTCTGGCTTGACTGGGATTGGATAACTTGTGATTTACTTGTGGGGACCTTGAAGGACACTGTTCTACTTTGAAGAATTTTAACAAAAGTGCACTCATAACCCTCAAATAAAGGAAACAACAAATTAGAACGCAAATTCAAAACCCCAAAAGAAATATGACTCATTAACATCCGAGGTCACCTGACACATGACTCATTAACAGATGAGGTCACCTGCCATTAGTCTACAAACAATGTCAACAAAGTATTTCAATATTTGGTCTTAAAAATAAAATACATAAAGAAAAAACTTGGGAGGGTGCGCAATGCAATTGCAGCACTTTCCCCAAAATACAATACAATCAAAGGACGCAGGTTAGGTGGGAATATAGCTCAGGGCTCACTCAATGAACCTACTACTAAGTACTGAAAATTTGAAGGAAGAGAATTCCTTGGGAAACAAGATACCACCAATAATGTGCCTTATCATCTCGACTGCATGTGAGAGGTTCTCTATAGACCTTATCCACGAGGAAGCCATTTTAGGTCATGTTCCCTGAATCTATTTTATAAATTGTAAACTGCTGCATAGAATGGTGCCAGACTATTTTATGATATTGGAGTGCGTTTCAAGCCTCACTTTCAATCTTGTTATAAATGTGGCTTAAAACATTAGGGAATGTTGAAAGTTTTAAATTATTCATCAGACTGGTAATATTTTGTAATGAACTTGTATTTCATTGCTTTCATTTCTACTCGCAAGTTCCAAAAATGAAGAGGTTGCCTCTCTTTCAATTTAATATGGCTGACTCATGAATAAGGTCCATTTATGTTGGCATAGCACATACTTACACTCGGCATAATGTCATGTTAGTCTCAAAGCTTCAAGAATGTGACAATAATGTCCTACTCTAAATAATACAAGATTTTTCTTTACCAGTCAAAATGGCTGAATTTCACGGAATCAAATTGATTAACATTACATTAAATACTGGTTTCATTTGCATACAGAGACCAATACGGGCACGCTTTCAATTCTATCATGAAGGCCCCTTTCAATGGCGAAAGCATTGTGCTAGCTATTGTTCAGATAAGCCGTCATGGGACAATGGGTTCTCCATTGAAGGGGGCCTCATGTGTGTATAGTGATCTTGTGCCCGGATTCGTCTATAAGAAATCACCGAGTCTGTATTCTGTGACACTCAGCTGCTCTCTCTCCATAAACCTTACAAGAGATCATAAAATAAGTCATTTTTTTTCTAAACAAAATAATGTTATTGAAAGATTGCCTCGAGGAGTATGCAAAACACCACCACACTTATGATGATCAGCTTATATAAGGTTTGAGGCTTTGCATGGTGGGGTATCGGTATCGTTTCGGTTTGTGGTAACACCATGTGGTAATAACTACTGCTTAGAAGATATTAGTTCTGAAAAGAACTTGTCCTGCTTATTATCAACTTTGCTAAGTAGTTTTTTGTTCTGTTCAGAACAGTCCTGCTGTAAGTTCTAAACGGACTGTTCTTAATAGAACAAAAAAGTACTTAGCAAAGTCGATAATAAGCAGGACAAGTTCTTCTCAGAACCAATATCTTCTAAGCAGTAGTTATTACCACATGGTGTTACCGCAAACCGAAACGATGATGATCAGCTTGTTCTTATATTTTGGCCTTTGAATTATGTATCAAACTCTATTTACATGTAAATTTATACATTTTGGTACTTACTTTGAAAAAAAACCCCACTACACCTCATATTAAATGGCAGCATATGAAAATATTGGAATTATTGGCAAAGTCAATCACATTAATCCAATGCCAACTCACAAGTCAGGCCACAGGTGAATGGGTGATGACTTATGACAAAGGAATGACTCTGTCACAGTTCACATGAACAGTCTGTCACTTGAGCTGAGATTGCAAGACTTGTGAGTGTGTTGTGGGACTTTGTGACAACTTCAGATGACCTTTTATGACATTATGATTGACTTGTGATGACTGCTGATCGACTTGTGACGCCTTTTGATTAAATTGTGATTGACTTGTGATGACCTGAAGCCTTCAATATGTACGGTACGCATCGATTGATTGAAATCACACTACATGCAGCTCCATCGGACATTGGAGAAAAAACCATAATAAGGACCTGAGTTGATTAGAATCTAAGTGACCATTTTAATAAAACTGCTTAGTACACAACAAATACTAATACTTTACAGCACACACTATTTGACAAAATACTAGCTTACATTGTACGTAACTTGGTAACTTAACTGGAAGCCTATTTCTGACGAGTAACATTCTTCTGTGCTCTGTGCTCAGTAATTCTATATGCTAAGGATGTCAGTGGATTTATCAAACTGGCTTTCCAAACACAATCAAATAGTAATATAATGTTAACTTACATGTGTAACATTGTTGACAATGAATACCTCAAAAGAGAGGAAAATATATTAAGTGGTCTTTTCTCGCCAGCAAATTTTGACCTTCATTTTTGTTAATTCACTAAGATCACACAGTACATGTGCCAAAGAATGACACTCGAATCAAATCAGTCAATAAGTATGCTTGGAATTTTAACAAACTCTGCTATTTAATATCTGTGTCCAGTCCCCTGCTAATTGTGCTCAAACTTCAAATAAGTCACAGGTTGTGACTCAAGATGACCTTCAAGTTATTTACATGTACTGTCCAGCGGACTCATTTGAAAGGAAAAAAAAAAACCTTTCACTTTGCACTACCTGTACAAACTATTACAAGTTAAATATGAGCACAAAATGGAATCTGACTTTCTGTCAGAATTTCAAACTGTATCCTAGTTAAGATTACAGGTTTAATATTAAAATTTTAAAACAAAGAAACCAAAACAACTTCTGGTACGATAACTAAAAATCCAACACCATAAATATGTACTTATTTTCTACTTCACGCACAATATTACAAAAAGTACACTAAAGAGACGATGTAAGATAGTTCAATATACATACATGTACATGTACATGTACAGCCCTGTTTACTGTCGGGTTTTCACAGAGCTTTTCAAACATACTGATCACTACTTCTCAAAATGAGATGTTCATGTCTAAACTTTATTTAGAAAATACAGATGATAAGAAATGTTACGTGTATGTAATGTACATACTTAACTTTGTTCCTGAGGAACATCAATGTGAAATTGAAATCTGTGTTTAAGAGTAGTATTTCAGAGTCACAACGGACCAAATGGTATTAGGAGCAAATCTAAACAACCCTATTGGATTTAATGCACTAAAAATACTCCATTGACATGACTCTGGAGTTGTTTTGACTCAGTACATGTACTCCTAGTCTATCCTAGATGTTTCAAAAACAAACTTTACTCAAATCTTACAGGGTTCCCTCAGAAATCTTAAAATGAAATTTCATGATTTTTCCCAAGACACAACTGTCTTGTTTGCAATCGTTTTAGGAATAAACTAAAATACCCTCTCACAAAATAAGGAAGACAGTTAATAAGTGGCCTTTCTGACCCGTGAAAATAACTGGTGAGGTTTTGGCCTACCATTTTGTCACTTTGGTCTCCAAAACTTAAAGCTTCATAAACTTTTGGCAAAACATCACTGCAAACGTTTTTCTTTTACAAATAAAGTAATAACAGCAACTGAACTTGTGTGATCTCAACTGAGAAACATAAACGAAAAACGCAGTCTGAATATCTCACACTAAAGAAAAGGCGAGCTGGAAAAAACCAAAAAACTCCCCAAAACTGTTATATACACCCATCTGGGTCAATCTATAAATCTGGGCTCAAATTCTTTTCCTGTCCCTGTTATATCTGACATCTATGATTGTATAATTCTGATGCACTCTGTAATGAAGTCATCCTCCAAGAGTGATAATGAATAGCAAACTTCCTACTTAACAAATAAAAACTTTTTAAGTTCATTCATGATACTTAAATGGCAAATTACAAAGTACCAAGGGACAAGAACAATGTCACACTTTGGACCATTCATAGAATGACCCGTTTACAATTGTTCATTTTTTTAAGTGATCAATTCCTGAAGAGCTTCTACATGTTTCCTTAAAAAACTTCTCCCATTTACAGTTTGGCAGTTTTTGCATTATAGGGCCAAAAAAAAAAAAACCGACACTAAAAAAATAGCAGACACTGGAAAAAAAAGTGTCGGCAAACTTGGCAGCATTTAATAACAACTTTCCGATATTTCCATCAATGTGCAGAAATCTCTGGTCCTCCTGACTCCTGTAAAAATATTGGACAATTCTACATCACCTCAGAATTGCTTCCTTATAGGTGTGAGCTGAGTTGAGTTTATCTCTGGGAATCCTTAGAAGATTGTGATGAACCACGGAAAGAAGAGGGAGAACTGGAGACCACAGAAGATTCCCAGGACGAGGAAGAAGCACATCATGGAGGCGGCCTTACCAGCCCACTCAGGAGGGACTTTCCTGAAAGGAGATGAGGAGAAATACAGTATTGTATCAGAGGTATGGTTAATACAATGGGAATCCTTAGAAGATTGTGATGCACCAATAGATGGGAGCTGAGTTGAGTTTGTCTGGGCAATGTAGGGCTGCATTCCAAATATTTGTCTATGGCCGGGCTCTGTGCACAAGTGCCCCCTCAACGATAAGAAAGGCAGAGTTGGGGGAGACCACTTAGAGTGCATCAACAATGATACGCGTGCTCGAGTGAAGGCTTTGTGCACATTCAAAATTTTGTCGCGAACCAGTACGCGCACACGCAGTGTGTCCCGTCCATGGGGCTCTCCAATGTGGCAAAAAGAGCGCCCTCTCTTTTTGCGCATGGAGCCCATATACGTAACACTGTGGGCGAAGCCAATTCATTACGATGCAGCCAATGCTTGAACAGAGATACTGATTTTCACTTACACAAACAATGCTAATTGTATATCTGTTGCACAAGTGGGACTGACCAACTGTGCGTCACCAATGGTCTTCCTTCATTTCCTAATATCTGCCAATTCGCATACAGTAAATGTAACAATTCTGTCAGGGCTGAGATTTTACAACCAGTCACAATTGAGTAATTCCAGCATTACATCTGTGACATTTAATTAATGATTCAGAGAAATGATCCAAAACTCCTAGTCTGTAATCTCCTTGACCATTACTAGATGATGGATGTACAAGATTTGAAAAATACATTTTCAGGTTTATTCACTGAGCTCTTAAATTACACAAACATTCTGATTTGTAATGTCCGTGATGCTGACATTGCCCAATCAATTTTTGAAGGACTTTAATGGCCAATTTCTAAACAGTGGCACTTGTGAAACTAGGCACCACCATTTCGACAACAAACCCTGTTTTAAAATAGTTCCAGGATTTTTGTAAAAAATAAAAGATATTAAAATTTAGGAACACTCACTGTGGGCCTTCCATCATGATGACAGTCTTGAAATAGCCATTGCTAAGGGAAAAGATGACCATGATGATGATATAGACGATGTCGTTGAAGTAGACTGGCAAGGTACGAGTCGCGGGTCGGTAGTTGCAGAGAATGAAGAGAGGAAAGAACAGGATACGCACGTTGGCTACAATCCAAGTGTACTTGTGAAAAGGCTGCAGCGGAAAAACAACAAGCAAACCATTTAGGGATTATTTGTAAGTATAAAAATGAACCAGTGTTGCAATTGAGTCCCTGACAAGTCCATCACAAATCCCCCAGTCTGGTGTCACAAGCCATTGAAATGTACCAGTGTTGCCATGTTGGAGTGTCATGGCCTAGCGGTTAAGAGCACCGGACTCATGTTCTGGTGTTTCAGAGGCAACATGACGTGGGTTCGAGCCCGCCGGCGGACACTTGTGCTCTTAAGCAAAGCACTTAACCATTATTGCTTCGTCCTTCGGGTGGGACGTTAAGCCGTAGGTCCCGTGTGTTGCATAAATGCACGTAAAAGAAGCCAGTGACACTTATTGCTAACAGAAGGGGTTTGCCCCGGTGTTTCTGGCCTCCTGTTTAAACTCCCACGCGAAGTATTTAGGAGAAGAACCAACCAAGAACCAAGAAATGTGACAAAAGCATTCCTGTGTCATTGTTCATCCCCTGTTACCTGTGGGGGCACATGGTCTATAAATGGGTACATGTGGGGGCACATGGTCTATAAATGGGTACCTGTGAGGGCACATGGTCTATAAATGGGTACCTGTGGGGGCACATGGTCTATAAATGGGTACATGTGGGGGCGCATGGTCTATAAATGGGTACCTGTGAGGGCACATGGTCTATAAATGGGTACATGTGGGGGCACATGGTCTATAAATGGGTACATGTGAGGGCACATGGTCTATAAATGGGTACATGTCGGGGCACATGGTCTATAAATGGGTACCTGTGGGGGCACATGGTCTATAAATGGGTACCTGTGGGGGCACATGGTCTATAAATGGGTACCTGTGAGGGCACATGGTCTATAAATGGGTACCTGTGGGGGCACATGGTCTATAAATGGGTACATGTGGGGGCACATGGTCTATAAATGGGTACATGTGGGGGCACATGGTCTATAAATGGGTACCTGTGAGGGCACATGGTCTATAAATGGGTACCTGTGGGGGCACATGGTCTATAAATGGGTACATGTGAGGGCACATGGTCTATAAATGGGTACCTGTGGGGGCACATGGTCTATAAATGGGTACCTGTGGGGGCACATGGTCTATAAATGGGTACCTGTGGGGGCACATGGTCTATAAATGGGTACCTGTGAGGGCACATGGTCTATAAATGGGTACCTGTGGGGGCACATGGTCTATAAATGGGTACCCGTGGGGGTAGAGACCAGACCGCGTTGATTTCGGCTGCAGAAAAATGGTCTCATGAATTGATGAACAGGGGTAATATCTGTGAAGCACTTTTGGTGGTAAGCGCTATAGAAGCCACACACATTATGCAGGATAAGTGCTTCAATAACACCAACACTCTGAAATATTTCCAAATACACCAGGTTTGTGGAGGATTTAGCAGGACCGCGTCAAATAGAACCCAGGATCTGGTGGGGTCAGCATAATGACAGACTTACCCATTTGAGCACTGCAGGGACCATACTGCCGATAAAGTCACAGAAGTTGAACGTGAAGAAGCAAGTCAGTGGAGTGAAGTACATAGCTGAAAATATGGAAAGAATCAAATCAGTTGCTGCGACATGAATTAGCGGTATCACATTTTTGTTTAACTTGGTATCACGCATGTACATGTTTGTGTTCATTTACATGTTGTCCTCATTTCAACCTGAGAAGCTATTCATATGTCTGGGTTGAAAGCGAACCTCAACATTTTTTTCCTTAAATGTATCAAAAATAGTGGCTGATGTAAAATGTGTTTTGGAAAGAAGGTAATATCCAGACGCCACTTCTTTGGTTGTGTACAAAGTCTATGGAGAGTTGAGTGCATTTTCAAAGTATTGTGTAACAGAATTGGAATGTTTCCCAGTCCAACATTCATGTCTTTTCAACACTTAGCAATGAGTGACCTTCATTGAAAAAAAATGGCTTCAGTATGCAACATTCTTTTTTTTTTTACTTACTTAAAGCATATGGTGCTAATGTTTGCATGAAAATGGAGATTTCTATTGCACAGCTGCCAACTTTTCAAAATCCAAATTAGTAATCAACCCGCGCGGTCATTTTCAACTGCTCGTAGAGGGCAATTCCACACCAAAGTGGACATGACACCAAAAAATTCAAATACATGTGACTTAAACAAATTTGGCATCAAATGAAAGCTAAAAGTCTATATTTTCAAGATTTGCAGTCGGAATTTTATTTTTTATACATTTCGATACCAAAAAATAGGATTATGTAATAATCCTGTTTTAATCCTAAAAATGTGATTAATAGTGATATGAAAGTATTCTACCAAAACACACACAAAAATATGTACTAATGCCATCAGTTTCTGTCATGAGAAAGTATTGGTCTTGAAAAACTGACTAAAACTTGTTTTTAACATTTTACGTAATTTGCTTCGCTTCAGTGACTTCTAATATTTCAGCCTTCGAAAATGTCCTTCCGTTACCGAAAAAATACATATTTTTAATTTATTTTTAAAACTTGCAGTATGAATGCATTGAAAGTTATTGTGCAAAGCAAGTTTAGGTAGGCCTTCAATATGACATTATAACTGACACTGCTGTACTTCTCGTTTTTTAATTACAATTAATTAAATCACGTCCTTCCGTTACCGAATTGGTAACGGAAGGATGGTAACGGAAGGACAAATCGTATTTTTATCAAATGTTACGACATTTGCGCTCATGTTTGAAAAATGAAAATCACTGCAAAGACATGCATGTATAATGAGCATTAAAAGGACATTCATGTGACCCACCTTCACAAAAGCGGGATAAGCAGGGCAAGGTGTTTATTACAAAGGAAGGCACAGGCATGTACAACATGTACAATGTACATGTACATGTATGCTGATGTACCAGTACTTGTACATGTATGGAGTTGTTGCAGAAAATCAAATCATAAAGTTGCTGCCATCAGCATTCATGGACAATAGAGAAAGATACGAATTCTGTGAAGCCATTCCAGAAGCAAATCAAGTCAAAAATGAGATGGCAGAAAGTACCGGTACTTTGGGGCACTTTCATTCAATTTACATGTGTAAGACATGTGAGGTGCAATCTTTGACAAATTATGCCCAAGTTAACAATTTCAGTTTGGATGTTTATAAATTAATTGTTACTACTCTAAATCATTGTAATTTGATTTCAAACACTGATTTTAGAGTTCAATTAAAAGCAACACCTAACTGAAGCCATCAGTTCTACCGGTAGATGTTTTTACCTTAAATGTACATGTAGGCTGGTCGCCCCCCCCCACCCTTTAGGTAAACCACTGAACCTACCGGTATTATTAAAAGTTGTTGGTGAACATGTAACCAATATACTCAAGTGCTCAAAAACTGTGTATTAAAACTTTTAAGGATTGAGGTGATGGGTTTGAAGTCCATTTCTGTAGTTGTCTTGTGTTTGTGAATTATGTGTTTTGGGTGGTTTTCGTTTTTCTTTTGTTATCATTAATTAGCAGGCTTCTATCTTTATCTCAATAGTTTCTTGGGTATAATTATTTATGCCAGGTCTGCATATTGTTGATTTCACATTCAGTTACACATTTCAGCAATTTGTTTCACTTGTATAATTAGTGTAAATTCACATTTTGTTCATGCTATAATTGAGTAAACCTTTTGTCCTTCTGTTACCATCCTTCCGTTACCAAATCATAATCTGCTTAAAACGTTGTAATTATATTACCGAAACACTTAAAGTCAAATGAAAGGCGGTATAGTATAGATAAAGCTTCAGGGATTCCATTTCTTACCTTTAAAATATAATTGCCCCATAAAATTCACAGAGTTTACGCAAAACGCGAGTAAGTTGGAAAACCCTTGTCTGTTTTACCGTCCTTCCGTTACCGACCTCATTAATATTCATAATTCATAAACGGGAGGCATTCATGCCCCCCAAAAGTGTGGAAAATGAAAGTAGCATTATAGCAATACAATTGTGACATTTGTTTGCTGTAACTATGAACAGTGTCTGTGATACACACATTTGAAATTGTGTTTAGTGAGTGAAAACGTCCTTCCGTTACCGTGGAATTGCCCCCTATTAACAGTGTATGTACCAGCTTTACCAACATCACATACATGGATTACACATGCACATACATGTGCATACCCTTCTTGTTGCAGTTAATAATGTACTGTAGGCCATAGGATAATAATAAAAAATAATAATAATAAAAAAAAAAATATTCATTTAAAAAAAAAAAAAAATTGTTTTACTGTCTGTATTTGTTTGTTGAAGTCAAATAAACAATAACAATAATAACAACATGCGTGCATATTTTTCTGAGATGCATGCTATTGATGTATGTATGTTTTATACACATTTAGGGCCACCGTATGCAATAGAAATATTCCGCCAACATGCCTTGCAAACGCAAACGCATGTTGATTGATCTTTTCTGGACATTGTGATAAACTCAAACTCTATCACCAATTCTTCCAACCATACTCTAAAATTCCATGATCAAAATCTCACACTGATGGGTCTCATCCCGGCAATAAGTGACCAATCAACCTCGTCCCCAGGGTATCGAGCAGTACGCGCCCACCACTACCTGCTCTCTCACCCCGGTATTGGATCATTTGCATGTGCAAGATTTTTGAACACACATGCAAATGAGGTGTAGTCTGGTGCCTGCATGTGCGTTACATTAGCGTTTGTTTTTGTATGCAGTGTCTGGGGTAAAACAGCATCAATTCATCGCGCTGTGAGTAATGAAAGCACGATTTTTGTTCAGTTAAAATGTTACAATCTGGCCCGCCAATATGCAGTATCACATTTCATATTAATATTAGCAAACTGGAAAGGAAAGGAGTATTTTTGAGAATGCCTGGACGTTATAATTACAATGATCGTGAAAACACGTAATGCACGTTGGAAATGATAACTGCAACTACACGATATAAATCCATTACTAGCAAATTGCAGCATCAAATCAGGATACGGGAAGAAAGTTTCCTATCCAGGGCTTACTCTTGCAAACGAGGTTGGAAATAAAATAATCACTGGGGACGAGGTTGAGTGACCAATGTGCTCACGATTGTCACTGAAAAGTAGTCAGTACCCGGTACATACATCCGCACGCGATAAAAACTAGAGGCACACACCATTGAAAAATATGTTTAGTCTGGTCCTCAAGTACTCCACTGCGCACACTGCATTGATGTCTATCAGGTGCCTGACCGCATTGCTTATTAGACTTGTCACGTGTCCATCCATTTTCGTAACATTTCGCCATAAGTTTTCAGGCAAAAACGACACTTAACAAGTATTTTTTTTCCAGTAGGTAGAAAATGGGAAATTTGTAATTTTTTAGTGGCAATTCGTATTTTCGTAATTTTAACAAAAAATTTCTAATAATTATGAACAATTTGTAATAGTTGGCAGCTATGCTATTGGTGCATCTTAATTTCGTTGAGGTCAGCATGTACTTTGCTGTGCTTAACCCATTAGCACTTGTACTACAGTGTATCACATTGTGTTTATTCACTGAAGAATCAATAAAACCATAGAGTGCTGGGGCGGTTTCAGTGATAGGCAGGGCTGTGTAGGGTGCTACAGTGACTAAAGGGTAAACTCCTCATGGTCTCAATGAAAAAAAAAAAAACCCAGACATTTTGTCAGCAGAAATACGCTATCTACCGGTACTTGTATCTCTAGGTCAGATCCTAGACATCCAGAACTTACCGATGAAATCACTGTGAGGTTCTTCAGTAGTTGAGACGACACCCAGGTTGAATGCTGGGAAGATGGCCAAGGTGACGAAAAACGTCAGCCACACGCTGAGTGCATCCACCCATATCTAGTCACAAAACACACACAATTAACCGTCATGAAACATTTTCCCCATGTATATATTGACCCATCCATGATGGCTTTCAACTATTACGAGGATGTTCCGAAGCCCGCTCGCTTAAACACACTGCAGTCACCTTCAGTGACATGTTCAGAGCTTTGCAATAATGCACATGTATGCAATGCCCGCTCAGGCACGGAAGTGTCCCAGTACTTCCAAACATACCCACTCCAAGACAATATAAGCTTCAGCAGTGTCTTGTTGCAGTTCATCGCTTCAGCAACATGCCTGTCAATAATCCACTCCTTTTTAGCTATCAGATGTTGCTCAGGATTACAGTCATCTTTGGAACCAGGTCATGTACATGTATAACTGAACCATACGGCCTCCTGGACATCCAAGATATCACCGATAGCTTTTGAGTGATGATACACCAAATGGTGGACAAGAAGTTGGCAGATCTTGGATATGTTGGCCAATTCCTTGCACTGTGTCATACTAAACAAGTAACGGGAAATTCAAACATCTTGACCGCTTTCATGGCTTTTGCTACCTGTTTCTCCATTGCCTGATTGCTGATGGTGACATTGATCTAAACCCTCGGCCTTATCACAAACCCTTACATACATGATGTAAGTCTGTTATTAAATCTGTCTTAATGTTTTGAAGATCTACAGCAGGGTATTGGATGGCTAGTGGCGTGCATTTAAGGGTAGTACAGGAAACCGGTGCCAAACACGGGTACCTGGATACTGGTTGAAAAAAGCCAACCCCAAATTCAAATCCCGGACTTCAACTTTTGAGAGTCATCTGTCGCACGTTAAAATTCACAAAAACGTCAAATCTAAATTGGTTTTCCATGGAGCCTGGTTTTCATTTTGACAATTTCCCACAAATAGAATACAAAACCTTCTTGTTTCATTGTCTGGGAATCAAATAAGTAATTTGTAAAGTTGGTTTTGGGTTTGCGATCCATGAATCTGGAATGGGTTCCTGACATCAGCGGTCGGGTACTTGGGTACCTGGTTCAAATGCAAACCCCTAGGATCTGCGCATGGTCAAGCCATGATTTCACCATGGTTAGGCAAGATGACAGTGTGAAAAGTCCTTAACATATAAGTCTTACGGTAAGACTCTTACCCTTTTGAAGATGTAGAGCAGGGTAATGGGTCTTGTAGCTTCTTCTACTGCTTCTTTCTCTTTCTCAGTAAGCACCTGCATAGCTACGTTGTGATGATAGTCCACAAATGCCTTGAGAGAGAACAACAGAACAAAGGGATTAAAATCCATCCAAAGTTTAATACAGTGCGTGTACTACATGTACAGGGGGGGGGGGGGGGGGGGGGGGGGTAAGGAGGGATATTTGCCCCCAATAATTTATAAAGACTGTCCTTTTCAATCCAAGTACCCTTTTTTTGCACGAGCGTTTACCCGCCCCGAATATTTTGAACGAGTGCCCCCTTTTTTTTTAAAACAGGGTGCCCTTTTTTTCGAACAAGTGTCTTTTTTTACAAAAAAGGTCATGCCCTTTTTGTGGCAGCGGCCGTTACGAGTGCCTTTTTCAAAATTATACGAATGTGTTGCCCTAAAAAGTGCCATATATTGTCCGTTAGTGTGCATAATTGTCTCTGTTGAACAGCGCCCCCCTCTTAAAATGGTACCAGCCCCCCTCCGCCCCCCACATGAACCACCATGGAACCGCTACTCTTGCAGAATGTGTACAAACATCCAAAAACTGTATCAAAATACCATTCAATGCTGATAACTATTAAAAATGTCATTAAAGATGCATATTATGCTAATTAGGATGCAAATCATTGCTTCAGGGGAAGAGGAGAGCCTGTAAACAATCATGTAGGCATCTCTTTAAGGGCCCATCTCAATTCATATCCAGGATGAGTTCTGGACAAGTTGCGGGCATCGTATCGGGTATGAGTTGCAGGGTTCTGAACCACTTCCCCGCAATCTTCCCGCAATGAAGTTATCAGTATTGGCGAGTCAAGTAGTTGCTAATGAAAATTTCCCTGGAACATGTCTTGGACGGATGCAGAGCTTCTCCCAGCCAAAGTGAATGATTCTACTCCCAACATGTCCAGAAGTCTTCCCGGTCTGCCCGTATATCAACTGAGACGGGTTTTAAGGATTTTTTTTTTAATCAATTGAAAATTGTGAGAGCAACTATTCCTAAGGTGAATGTAATAACCAACAAATATAATGAAAATTCATGGCTTCAATTTGATTGATTTGCAATGCACATGTTCTTTCTGATGCATCACTAAATTTAAACAAACCGTGCAGAAAATAAATGGTTAACCAGAAATTGTCGATAAAACTAATCTCTTGTTATTAACCTATGTAAACATGAACTTCTGCATATCTATCTCAATAATCTTTATGCACTCTGAAAAGCCTGTGAAATAAACAGCCCACAGCTGTTTACATGTTGACTACGTGTATGAATGCACGGATGCCATTACAATAATCCTCTGGATGTAATTAAATGAATGGCTCAGTGGCAGTTTGCCTCATCCTGCCTAACCAATATGCACAAATTGTACATCAGTCGTGTTGTTATGGCACATTGCTGAAGACATTGATCAGTCACTGATACTTAAAAAGAAAAGGCTTTTGTGATGATGTATTGTCCAAGCGCAAAAAGTATGTATTTAGGCTGCTTCTTTTTTGGCCCTGCTTAAAAGTTCTAAATGTCTACTGTATATTTTTTCACGAGTTATGATTTCCACTAGCGATATATGTCGTTTTCTTTTTACTAAAGCTGGCATGACTGAATATTGCTCATTGCTCATAAGATAACAAAATACAAATGCATTGTACGTCACACAAAGATGTGAACGGGTGAGACAATTAACAGAACTACCACTTGGACAAGTAAATGTACCTTGATAATCTACTAGCTTGATTAGAAGTGTGTGCAAAAAAGTTATGGATTTCAGATCTGTTGGATAGAAATCCTAAGTCTTGAGCTAAAGGATCCTGAGGGAATATCAGGGAAATCTTCAGGCATTATGGACTAAAAACCATAGGGTCAGAGAAAATGGCATCAGGATTGGCCTATTCATATAACTGTTTTGAAATTCTCAGTATATTTTTACAATATCATCAAAACTGAAGTTAAGGAATTATGTTCAGTTCACGAAACTTGGATTTTACTAGACAGGCATGCAACTTGGAATTTATTTTGAAAAACCGAGTTATGCCCAAATCACACAAGAGTTTGTACAGTGTTTTTCAATTTGTAATGACATTCATGAGAAGTAAAACATGAGGAAATTAGCGGATCCGAGGAAAAGTCGCATGCTTGCTAGTAACAATCAGAACCTCATGCCAGATGTTGTCTTGACATTAACCTTGACCCTTTATAAGCTCCACTCTGCTTCTCGAGGGATTAAGGTAATTCCATACTGTCCATTCCAGCCACTATGCTTTGCATGGGGCATGGTTAACCCTTGAAAGTTCACCACAAAAGTTCTGTCACTGGTTTTCTGAGAGGTGATGAATGGTGGAGGATTTGGGGAAACTTCCGAGCGGGATTGCCCAGGGATGTTTATGTAGGTTTAAACTGCTGAACTCTGACGTTTACAGGGGCTATTTTTTACGATGGAATTTTGCGTCAGGGAGTAAATTCAAACTTGTGTTTTGCCCTTCACTAATGCAATTTGAGTGCTGTACAACTGCTGTATGCGGTTTGAACCGGCCAGCCTACAACAGCAAGCTCACGCTGCAGTAGCAGATAGGGCTGGGGTTCGAGTCCAACCTCAGCTTGTGATTTCTTTCAAGCACTCAGACAGCAGCTGGCTGCACTGAGTATCCAGTCCTTTCAAAATTACGATGGCGAAGGGCAAAACCCAATATATAACATCTCCCTGATGCTAAAATGTCATTATACAGGGTGTCCTGAAAATAACGGTGAATGTAAAACCCGCCATTTTGGCCAATTTACAACTGAAATTTACTGCAAAAGTTTACACGATCTTCGAGGTTACAGATTTAGCTTGAGAATACCGTTTGTGTAATTAAGATTACTTTTGTAAATCCAGAGATATGTTTGAATAACCGCAAAGCCAAAAAAACATTCTGTGCCACTTTTAGGAAGCAAGTGCTTCAACGATCAGACAATGCCAGTTTGGCTCTTTTGATAAGATCATCCCTATGGGTGTTAAGACAAACATTCCATTCACACGACAATGTAGGGTTTTGTTCTTATGTTGAAACAATTTAATAGTACAGACAGGTTCACTTCTTAAAAACTTCACTGAAAGAGTTCAATTAAATATAAATAAATATTGCACACTCTGCTTAAAAACAGTAAAAAGATTTGGTTTTAGACTAGGACTATACTGATTGCTTCACAGAAAGTGGCACCGAATGGGTTTCTTGGCTTTGCCGTTATTCAAACATATCTTTGGATTTACAAAAGTAATCTCAATGAAACAAACGGAATTCTCAAGCTAAATCTATTACCTTGAAGATGGTGTAAACATCCGCAGAAAATTTTGGTTGTAAATTAGCAAAAATGGAGGGGTTTTCATGCACCATTTTTTTCAGGACACCCTGTATAAATAGTGATTGGTTGCGGTATCCATTGCTACAGTGACATCTCCAAAGTCAAACCTCAAGGGAACAGGTTCAAATTTGACTTAAGCAGAGTTTTGAGTTTATATCATTATTATACTACTGAAGGCAATGGATTCTTTGTCTGACTTACATGTCACAGTTGTTTTGAGTTATCAGAGTTTGACTTATTGAGATTTTAATGACCAGAATTGAGCACACAAGCTGACCCCTGCACGTGCAGTGGTTCAGTGGTTAAGACGTCTGCACTTGTAAACACGCGGTTAAGGGTTCGAGTCCAACCCGTGTCAGCTTATGGAATTTTTCTCCTATTGTATGGTGCATCCTAATTGAGGACAGATTTGTTATTTAAAAATTCACCAAAATTGAAAGAACAATGTGTCTACATATTCATGCATGTCAGAGGAGAACAAAGACCTACCTATACAGTGCTTATTAGGTCAGTGAAGGGCAGGCCAATACTGAAACTTTAAAAGGGGGGGGGGGGGGATATCTTACCGACTTGTAGACAAGGATAAGACTTATGACTGCTATGAACAGGACAACTACAGCACAGGTGAAGTATGCAATGCCAGCAGTCTGAACCGAGTCTGTAGCTGTGGGACAAATGAAATAAAACGATACATAAAAACAGGACAACTACAGCACAGGTGAAGTAAGCAATGCCAGCAGTCTGAACCGAGTCTGTAGCTGTGGGACAAATGAAATATAACGATACATAAAAACAGGACAACTACAGCACAGGTGAAGTAAGCAATGCCAGCAGTCTGAACCGAGTCTGTAGCTGTGAGACAAATGAAATATAACGATACATAGAAACAGGACAACTACAGCACAGGTGAAGTAAGCAATGCCAGCAGTCTGAACTGAGTCTGTAGCTGTGGGACAAATGAAATAAAACGATACATAAAAACAGGACAACTACAGCACAGGTGAAGTAGGCAATGCCTGCAGTCTGAACCGAGTCTGTAGCTGTGGGACAAATGAAATAAAACGATACATAAAAACAGGACAACTACAGTACAGGTGAAGTATGCAATGCCAGCAGTCTGAACCGAGTCTGTAGCTGTGGGACAAATGAAATAAAACGATACATAAAAACAGGACAACTACAGCACAGGTGAAGTATGCAATGCCAGCAGTCTGAACCGAGTCTGTAGCTGTGGGACAAATGAAATAAAACGATACATAAAAACAGGACAACTACAGCACAGGTGAGGTAAGCAATGCCAGCAGTCTGAACCGAGTCTGTAGCTGTGGGACAAATGAAATAAAACGATACATAAAAACAGGACAACTACAGCACAGGTGAAGTATGCAATGCCAGCAGTCTGAACCGAGTCTGTAGCTGTGGGACAAATGAAATAAAACGATACATAAAAACAGGACAACTACAGCACAGGTGAAGTATGCAATGCCAGCAGTCTGAACCGAGTCTGTAGCTGTGGGACAAATGAAATAAAACGATACATAAAAACAGGACAACTACAGCACAGGTGAGGTAAGCAATGCCAGCAGTCTGAACCGAGTCTGTAGCTGTGGGACAAATGAAATAAAACGATACATAAAAACAGGACAACTACAGCACAGGTGAAGTATGCAATGCCAGCAGTCTGAACCGAGTCTGTAGCTGTGGGACAAGTGAACAAAAAGGATTACTCTTATGAGGATTAGTTAATCCTACAGATGATCTTGATTGAAATTAAGCCTTATATGGCTAGAGTGGTCTTTGATCTTTGCGCTGCATGCTTGATCATAGATACATGTATGGTATGTACTGCATGGTTGTGGACATTGGTGCATTGGTTGCCCTCACCAATATTCTTAAGGCAAAATTGATGTACAGAAACCAGCTGCACTAGTGGACCACTTGGGCCATGATGCCGATATCATCGACCATGTTTGACTGATCAATGCACACATGCTTTGCGATATTTAGCAACGAAGTATTGAAGACAAAAATATGAAGCAAACATTGTTTGGAACAAGTGAAAAAAATGATGTTTTTTGCCAATTCTGCAAACTTGATTTTTCCTTCTTTACATATGTAATTTTTGTGTGATTTTGTAGGTTTTCACGTTTGAGTTCCTGTATGCAAGTCATGTCGGTGCATGCTGCACTGATACACAAAGTAGGCCGATTCTGCCATAGTGCGTGCAGTACAGCAGTGTTGTTGGTGAAAAAAATTTCTTTTTTTTCAGCTCAATATAATTGTTTGTTTAAACTTAGACTTTGATAACTGTACAGAGGCAAACTTTTGTGCAGTAAAAACGGAATGACGACAAGGAACTTTTGTTTCCGAATACAGCGTCTGAATACTGGCACCCCATTACGGGTGCGCTTCAAAGGGTACTCCCACACATGTCCCCCACTCAACGCCCAAGCCGGGGAGCAAAAAAATCCATAATCCAAATAACTAAAAAAAAAATTGCCTCATCTGATGTAAAATTATTATGATGGATTATAGAGACCAATTACCACTAATATACATGGTGCCAGATGTTCGAGTTTGCTCTGATTGGATTACTTGAGTTTGGGATTTTGAAAGATTCCTGAAGAAATTACCTTGCCAATGACTTCGGTATTTAGAATGACTCATTTGAACAAACCAGTGTAAACAAACAGAAGTATTAGGTCACAGGTATAAAGCAGGGATGTGTACATGTAGTAAGAAACTTTTTCAAATAACCTTTTAACCTTTGGCATTTCCAAGGTTGCGGGTTGCAATGGGAGACTTTGGCGATGATGGTGGCAGCAAACATACCGGTTCTTTTCAGTTGTTTACGTCATGTTAAAGCCAAAGCGCGCATGCTCAATATGACGCACACAATGGAAAAAGGAGCTTTTCATTCTTCTTTATTCAAAGATGACACAATTATGGAAGACATGGGAGTACTTACTTGCCAATGTGATGATGCTGATGACCGCTACAAAGGTTCCACCAAGACCCTACAGATAACAACCAACAAGTCGGTAAAAAAACCTCATCAACTTATTATATAGTTTAATGATACACTATTTCCTGACATACATATACTCTCTACAGACAATTTATACGTAAATGCCTTACATGTACATGTCTATAGTTTCCAAAGGAAAACAGAGCATTTTCATTATTTTCTTTAGTTCTGTTCAAGTTCTTCTATTAAGACTTTGATAGTGACTTTAAAGCTACAGTCCATTATTTGCAGCTATCCAAAAAGTAACTGAAATAATTATTGAAAAACATACTTGGTTGAAAGACAGTAAGGGGACTAAACTCCCTGTGAAATTATTCTTTCTGGCAAGCTGTCATTTTGAAGAAATCAACGAAAGAAGGCCTTTCCAACGGTGCGTCTTAAGACGGAAAACAGAAAAATGTAGTGCATCTGTGTCCCACGTACCACTCATCCTTCTGCCTCGTGGTATGTGGGACACAGACACACTACATTATTCAGTGTTCCACTCGCGCTGGCAGTATAACTAATATTATCAAACTGAATCCTCTCCATACTTGGCCAACAATGTAACTCTGGAGGTAGCTTCCTGGCAGTTTGGCTGAGAAGGCAAAGATACCCGACTGGTAGACTGCTGCGGCTCCTGGAAAACATCAAATGAATGGAATTGAAGGAAATGAGCAACAAGCCAAGGCTAGCCTAGTATTAAAGCTAAACCAGAGGGCATATCAACCTTAATATCCACCTCCCACTTTGGGGGATTTCGGCAGACAAGCCATGTGTACCAAGTCCATCAAAATCCACCAGCACCAGCGGTGGATTTCAAAGGATTTGGTCCTGAAGCAGCGGTGGATTTCAAAGGATTTGGTCCTGAAGCATTATGTGAATCAGAGTGAGTGATGGATTTTGATGGACACGGTCTTCTACTTAGTAAAACTAAAGTAGGGAGTTACATTGTAGGGTTAATCAGTCCATTCAGAAGGGTCATTCACTGGAATTCTTTTTATGCATGTGACCTACACAAAAGGAACCTTTAAAGATACCGTCAGTAAACGCACACATTCCTATGATGTTTGTGTGCACACACAATCTACATGCAGTGTCAGGGTCAATGTTAGGCCTTCCAATGACTGACATGGTGTACAAGGTACTTACTCTCATAATTTATTATGAAGAAAAGATTTATGGACTAAATCCTAGATGTTCGATTACTAACACTTGGCCAACCAAGTAAAAAAAAAAGCAATTGTAATTGCTGAAATAAAAAAATAATTGTTTTTTTAAAAGAACCTTCTTTGGGGGAAATGAAGGAGCCGAGCTACAAGAGCACCTACTATATTTATCTGTATGAATATTCAGTATTTGAGCTCTGATATCAGATTAATTTGATATGAATCTGATATATCAGTAATAAGCCCTTGGCATGCAAAATTGGAATTTGATTATTTTCACGGTCCAAAGACCAACACTGTGCATATAATAAATTGAGTTTGAAAGGCAGACAAACAATATGAAAGATAAGGCAAACAATACATGTTCCCTACCACATCTCACTCTACAGTAACCATATTACCAAAAGTCACGTACACTTGTTGCACAGGCTTATCTTTGTACTCAACTTACGGCCCTGACATATTAATCATCAAATGTTTTGAACCCCTTTGAACTTGACTAAAGAAATGCTTGAATGTTTCCAAAGATGTTTATGATTGGGGCAATTGTTTTTGAGAATTCAACCTTTGATTCTGTCTGGATTTACATGTGTAGCAGCAAACTCTGTAGTCATCTATTATTCTAGGTACATGTATCATGTATCTGATAAACAGAGGTGAAAGTTTGGTTCAGCAAAATTAGAAGACAAATACATTTCTTTCGAATAATTTACTTCTTGGCAATGCAATGCTTGGATGTGGGTTTTTCTCATGTTGGGGATTATTTTTCACGTAAATTATGTAATTAATTTCCATTTTAGTTGAACCATTTTTTTTAGGGGGTGGGGAATAATGTCAAGCTGCTCTGACATCCAATTTATGTAAACTAACTGACATGGCTACCGTATATCACCATGCATTTATACACTCTGTGAGCAAACCATGGTAAAAACGCAATTTGGACCTACATGTAAGCTGTGTTGTTTTGAAGGTTTGTCTTTGCGGGTTGTTTGCCAGCCACTTAACAAATCAAGTCATCAAATGGAAAGTCAACTGCTGCCGACTTTGACACATTACCAAATTGTCTCGTTTTAATTACCTACCGTTGAAAAGGACTACCGTCGCCATGGTGATTCCAAAGAAAGCTCCTGGCCCTGGGGAAAGACCGGATAAGAGAGAAGACAGTGATTTAGTTGTTTGTTTGCATGGACATCCCTGAATTTAATTAAAAACGTGATAAGTAACTCTGTAAAAAAGTATCTGTATATTATACTTTTTAACATGTACCTTACATGTACATGTACATGAACATAAACCCTCTCCCGTAGCATGAGGATAAAGACACATATTTTGTATATTTTAATATCATCCAGATGAGGTTAAATAATAGTGTTTTCTTTATGACAAAAACAAGTAAATAAGGTAGGTCTTTGAGAATTAGGAATTACATGATAAATTTAAGATTTAAGTTCAAAACTGCCTTTTTTAAAAGGATTAAAAGGATACATAAATGTTGTTACTGTATGCATATATTGCAACCTTATTCACATATGATTAGGTCTTGTTCCCATCCCAAAACCCTGTAAACCTTTGACAGCCACAATATGAATTTACACTGTTAAAGTCACGCAAGCAAAAGAGACTTGTGCGAGGAAAAACTAAACTTGGAATTGATTGATTGCAACCAATCCATCTGAAATCCAATACAAAATGTGAGTTTTTAAATTCCAAAGTGATTAAACAATAGAGTACAAAGGGTACAGAGTACATGTTCACGCTTTTGTCCAGTTGTGCCCTTGTTTACTGTTCCTGTGCACTTTACTACTGCCTTTTTGAGGTATCGGTAGTTCGTGTTGGTGTACATTATAACCCTAATGTAACTTGTTTATGCATTTGTAATGTAAATTGTTTATGCATTTTGCGCAATATAAATGTCATTATTATAACTGAATCCATCAAAATCCACACCCCTGTTTTGGAGGATTTTGGCAGATTCTGGATGTAGATGTACATGTTTTTGTACACGGACGTAAATGTCAAGTTAATCATTAAATATTTTGGCTTTGAACAAGATCCATAAAATAGATTTTCCATGTGAAAATGTACAACGGAAATCATATTGTGTAAATACTATCGACTATACAATGTACACAAATAGTGCATCTCCATATCACACAGCCTGTAGTTTGGTGCAAAATACTTCACTACTAGTACACGTACATCACGTACATGTACCGTACATGTACGTCTCCCAAAGTACCGGAATGTACCAGTACATGTACATGTACATACGTACATTGTACGTACGTGTATGCACAAAGTACATATTCTATAAAATTATATGACGTAAGGGTCAGGTGTGTTAGAAAAAGTTCAAAAAAGAGAAACCATGGCAAATTATGCAATGAAGGTTCTCCTGATAAGAAGTACATGTAATAACCTTAACAAGTATTTTGAAGAAAACAAGTATTTTGAAGAAAACAAATTCCTAGAAAATGGATAAATTTGCACTTTCATGTCAGTAAATTTGCAAGTAAATCCCAAGTAAGGCCACAAAAAACCCCAGTGTAACAAAGGTGAACAATTATGAACTTTTGTCAAGTTTCATTGTAATTTGACTTGAGACTGGATGAGCCATGACTGGCTTCTCAGGACAACTCTGGAAATAGATGAAAATTACTTTTGGCTAGAAAGTCTCGATCTTTCGAGTATTTAAACACTCTTGAATTATAAGTGGTCTAACTCTCTTGTGGTTTGACCATTCAAAACACCTCAAAATCTGGGTTCTGGCAAATTGGAGGACAAAAAATGCAGGACCTTTTAAAATCCTCCAGAATTTATTGTTACTGCACTTCCACACCTTTCAATTCCTTTCGAAAGGTATTGAAAGGCAACTTACTGAATTTGCCCACAGAGTTGCTTCACCTTCCGAAACCTTTTCGAAAAGTTTCAAAGTTCCAGCACTATTTCACCTTTCAAAACCCTTTGAGTCAGGCAAATTTAAAATGTTTTGAAAGGTCTGATAATTCTCTACCAACTGCACTGGGCATAGCAGGGCTAAAGGAAGTAACAGGTCAGAGAAACAGTGCATGTGTGTGTAAATCAGGACGGACTTTTTTGAGTGATGTTGCCCTCAAAGTTTATAACTGATTTGTTTCTCTACATTTTGTCCAGATACCGGTATCCATCCCATTCAAGTAACAGATTTTTGATACATTTAGAATTTGGGTGTTTTGTTTTAAAGGGAATATACAACATTTGCAAACATCGAAAAAATAAAACTACCAAGTTTTTACGAAATACCTTACTAGGATGTTGGTAAGTGACAGTCACAAGCATTCTGTAAAATTACAGCACCTGGTGTGAAGTCATTTTCAAGAAAATGGTATTTTTGTATACATTTCCAACGGTGGTCGGCCGTAAACATGTCAGTGTAACAATATTTTGATCTTTTATACTAACCTCAACTAGTTCATATCTGAAAATTACAGTGAAAGCCAATGGTGTACACGTACATTCCCTTTAACAGCCTTGCTGTAGATCTATATTTAACCACAAAAGGTCAATGAACTTGCCCTTTTAGCACACCTCTTTCACTATAATAGATTCTTATGATGATCCACTCCTGTTATTAATAACTTGGATCTGATGGGCTTGCCATTTTCTAATAAAAATAAAATTAATTACCCATAAATTCAGGTCAGCATATGGTCAAACAATGGCATACATGTATATTGGCATGTCAAGCAGAATGCCAAGTTCACGGATAACAAAATGCAAATTTACTTTTTTTCTGACAAATTACAAATGTACCAGTTAAATATGCATTTGTACATGTACATGTACATGTACCGGTACGTGTGCAGAGAAGGTAAAATTATTGTTGGATATTTACCGATGGCATATTTGTCAGAACAGAAACAGATGTGCTTGGTTAAATTTTGTTCTGTCAGTGCATTTTAAGTGCATGTGATGGCTCAAAATTTAAAGAATTACTTACATAGTACATGTGTACTATGTATTCCATTTTGTTGAGTAGTTTTTGTGTCTAGTGTGCACGTACATGCTTGTAGTACAAGTCTGTGTGTTACTGCTCTGTGCAAAGTCAAACAAACAAATAAACTGTCCAATAAAAAGGTAGGGCTCTGTCACAGACCCCAGCAGATGGTACCATGATGGTATTCTATAAAAAAAAACAGATCCCTGCTGAGAGAGGATACTGACTAGCTATTGAAATGAAACCCTGACTATTACCATTCACATGCCTAGCATGCAGGGTTGAGGTCAAGAGGTTAAGATTAGTTCATTCCCCTGTGCACTGGGTCAAAAACCTTTGGTGAAAAAAACTAGGAAAGGGTTCCTTCTGAGCATAGAACTGGGGTCCTTCATTTGTAGCTCTATGTTCAGAGATAATCATGTTTGGCTGCATGTCAGATGTTATTAGAATCAGATTAGGAAAGGTCAGGGCACTCACAGGTGAAAACGTGACACTGAAAAATTGTATTCTGCAAGGCAAGCAAAAGGTCTTGCATACATACAAATGTACATGTACATGTATGTATCATAGGACGGTCTAACATTAAATTCTCACATGTACGGGAGAGTGAGGTTAGTTGGAATGCGGGGTTTGTTGAAACATTGAGATTTTCTGACACAGCTTTATTTACATTCATGAAACACTGCCCCCTAGTGGCAGGTATTAGCATTGGCAACATCATTCCACCATACTGCCTACAACAGTGGTGCTACAACACTGTTGGATTGTTTTTTTATTCCGAGTATTTTTTTTCACTATACCAAAATTATGCACATCTTTGGTGACTAGTACAGACTACAGATTTTTGCAAGCGTCATAATCATGAATCTGTTTTGTTTTTCCATGTAGCCTGGTTGTCCTTTTAAAAATCTCCACAAATGACATTCAAAACCTTTCTTTTTCAATGTTTGAGTAGTTACGAAGTAATATGTAAAGTTGGTTACGGGTACTCGATTCCACAATCTAGAACTGCTTCCTAACAGAAATTCCATCTAATGAACATTATCATGGGTACAAATTAAAAAATAGTTCTGGAGTATAACAACACTGGTACATGTACGTACCATGGCAATGATGAAGAGACTGTATACAGTACATGTACTTACATTCAGATGAGTCAATGATGGCCAAAATTGTGGTGATAACAAACAGCGTCAGCATCATGTTCAAAGCAATCATGTTGGCCAAACGAGAAGACCTAAGCAAAAATACATCAAATAAGAAAAGTGAAAATCCAAATGTCTCATTTATTCAATCTGTATGACAAGCATGCGCGTGTTGCTACAACAAGCCAAAAACTTTCAAGTGCCGTAATGGCAATAATAGAAAAGATAAAACCGTTCTAGGTTAGTGCTAAACCCACCCTCAGATAAACCGATTTGTTGTACCTTTAGAACCGTTCAGAAGAATCGAGTTCAACTACCCGATAGTGTTTTAATCAAATTTAAAACGGTGTCTGAACGATGACATACGAAGAAAAGGAAATGGGTAGATAAACTTACTTGGGAGGCACAAATAAACTGACAGCCAGGAAGAAGACATTGGGAATAAATCCTGCGATGCCGATGTAGCTGACAAACTTGTCCTTGTACTCGGCGCTGTCACTGACATTGCCAAACTTATGGTCTGTAAAATACTGAAAACAAACAAAACCAAGAAGAGTGGATGTGAATTATTCATCAAGAGTGACTGAATCCAAAAAAATCCAAAAGCAGGCAGTAACATGTCACTGGGAATTTTCTGGGTGAATAATCTAGCTTAGAAAACTGTGACAAAATTGAAATAATTTGAGGCTTTGCGCGGTGGAGCGAGGGTATTTGCAGTAACACCATCCAATAATCTCTGAACATTTTGAGTAGTTAACTCTGGTCATTCTTGTATTGACTGTCTGTGCATGTTTGACATCTTCAATCCTCAATTTGTTGCAAAAAGTGTTCAACGTAAAATACTTGAATATCATATTCAAAGTGAATTGTGTTGAAAGTATCCTTAGAATACTATCCTAAAGTGTAAATTTACACAAAATTCTCAATCAATTAACCATTTTGGACTGAAAAATGTGCAGGTACCACAATGCAAATTGGATATGTTTCAAGGATGCTTTGTTTATTTTTTATAGGGGTACAGGTGCACAGGGATATATATTGGTACTGTACATGTACATGTACCCTGTACACTGTCATAAAATGTACAACCATAACATGCAATGCATAGATCGGTGCGCACTTGTACCATGGAGCTCCATGTACATTTAATAACTTTTTAATATAGCTCTATGCTTGTACATGTACATGTGTAATAAACCCATTGTACACCAGTTTAAGTAAACTATGGTTAGACACTGGAGTAAAGCATGTTGACGATGTGATGAATAAATCACTCTTTTTAAGCTGAATGAAAACAAATTGAAGCGACAAGCATACATGTTCATGTATGCCATGTACCGGTATACTGTACTAAATGTAGAATAAATAATCTCCGATGTGACATCCAACTATACCACTCACTGTTTGTACCTCATCACCCACCGATACACTACATGTACTCTGACTCTAATACATTCTATTACTACATGGCTGACATTTTGAACTTGAATTGGTTATTTTAGCAGGTACATGTACTGAGTTCTACAACAATCAAAGGCAAGTACCATCAGTGAAACTAAATGGTTACAGCCTGCATATGAAGGCTGTAACTTCAATGCAAACTATATAACAGTACTTGAGTGATGAACAACACACAAGTCTACAGGTTCACATACATTGTACATTGTGTACAATGGTAGGACTTGAGGTTGAGAGGCTCTAACAAAGAAAAAATCAAAAATCTGTTAAGTGTTAACCGGTTTGGACTGGATGACGTGTATACACACAAAGGCTACGCGGTATTTTGAACGAGTGACGGATAAACACGCAGGGAACGAGGCCAGAAATATATGACAGCAAATCGCTCGCAGCGAGCGAGGCCGGAAATATGAGTGTGCTGCCCGAGGGTGATGGCTTCAACCTGCCTAACTTGAGGTTGAGTGAAATGCAATCCAGCACCTCGTTCCGTTCTTGTCAAATATTCCCAGGGTGAACTGGTTAATTGCAACAGGAAAAACTGTGATTGGAAGTCTGAAAAAGAGTTTTGTTTCCTCAATAGTAGCAATTGTATACATTGTATACCTACATGTAAAACATCACATCACTCTGCAGATTTAACACAAGTTTTCTGGTAAGATTTTTGAATATATTCGGCACATGTTCCGAGGGGCGGGAAAACATGGCTTGGGAATGGACAAATGAAGGAGGGAGGGAAGGAGACTTGTCTTACCGAGTCTGCTGTGATAAACATGTTCCAAGGCAGCAACGTAGCAATACCGTGGATTGACATCAGAAAGAAGATGAACTTGAACCTAAATACACAAACAGATACATTACATGTAATTGTTAATATTTTCATCTGTAACCAGGATAGAAACAACTTCTTTGATGGTTCAGATGGATGGCCTGCCTGGGATGTACATGTACAAGTTCATTAACCTCGCTGAACATTCCATTTTTAGGGTATACCGGTAATTTCGTTTCTTGTTTGAATTAAGTGAAATGAATTCCTTCTGCAAGATTCATACATTTATTGCAATATTTTACAATGACAAACACATTGCAACTTGACACATGGATATTATAAAAAGTACTTATAAAATAAGACTTTTTGACATTGAGCAATTTACATTCTTGGAAGAGAGTATTAAACACTTTGAACTTTCCTTGATCCTTAAAAATCCACAAGGATTTGGACGATGCTGAAAGTTTAAGAGGGGATCAAGTTCAGAGAAGATACCATGGGTTTCCTGCCTTTGAAGGAGGATTATGGAGGATTTGGGAAGATTTGGAGGTTGGGTTGAAGTACTTTGTGAGAGAGCACAGAGAGAACAAAGTTAAAGGAAATATCAATCAAGGAAGCAACAGGTTGAAGCAAAACTAGGCAAATAAAGTTGGTGTACCGTGGTGATGTTATCACAATTAATGTGTCATTTCCTTTACTACTCTGTCAACAGGAAAAAGCTTTAGTGCATAAATTTGCAACCCCAGATACTGGTACATATGTACACACATCCTACAGGTATTACAAAAGCTGACCAACAGACAGTTGCATTCTTTTCATTCATGGGAAAAAAACGCTTTTATAAAACAGATCCTCAGCAAAAACAAAAAACAAAACTCACAATTGTATCATGGACAAAGCATGACACAACTATTTCACTAGTAACAGAGGTAAAGCAGCAGCCAGTGGGAGGTTTTGTTGCACTTGTTCTCAAGATAATCGTTTTGAATTTTGAAAGTTGATCGGGTGCATTTTTCTCAAAATGTGCATGTTGATCACCAGGTTTGAATTACCCTATAAATATGTACAAATTAATGTAACAAAGGAGGAAATTGAAAGTTATTTCTTTGCAGTAAGATATTGTGGAGTTAGGAAAGTGAAAAACAAAGATAGATTATGAACATTCTGAGAGATTTTCTGAAACTACGGTATACCACATCCACATGCCCATCCTAATACAACACCAACCACCTTTTTCCTAGCACTTGTGTACCAGACAAAGGAATGCACCAGTTCTCTGTGCTTTGTTCTTGCATCCCTTTGTCTGCTCACCCTGAATGCCCAAATCTCTCTGTGCTTTTCCTTTAAAACAAACAGCATCACGAAGGCTACCACCTGTACAAGGTTGGTGCCCCCACCCCCCCCCCTTCCCCACAGACAGGACAATAGAGAATCCCTACCTCCCCTACCCCTACTCAATGAAGAAAGCAGTACTCTGGAAAAGTATGAGCTACATGTACAAGATTTGCCAGGATTTTGTAATGTACACATGTGTAGGTCAGTTCAGTCAGTTGAATGGGCATGCGTTATTCACATGTGTGAAGATTTTCAGATTTGGGAGTTTGGGTGAAAACCCTCTTTTTTTTGGGGGGGGGGTGTTAGTTTCTGAACACTTACCTATCTTTTGGTGCCCGTCTAAGCTGGATTTTCTGCTCTGCACGCATGTCGGCGATGTCTTCCCTTGAAGCCGACAGTCGAATTGATGAAATTGATCCACCCCATTTGTGAGCTTGGGAAAATCCCAAGGGTTCGTAGGCTCCAGTTTTGCTGGGCGATCCACCAGGAATGTGCAGACGCCCGTTACTTCCGTTGGCTTTCCGTGACGTGACCGGAGTTCCCCATGGACTTCCAGTAGGAGATCCAGTAGGAACGTTACCATTCCCATTCACTAGAGGTTCCTTGATTTCTGTTTCTTGTTCCTCTGGTTCTTCCGCGTCGTGAACTACGATCTGTGGGTAGCCAGCCTCGGCGAGCTCAATGCTTGTTTCCTTCATGTTGGCTAGATGTTGATTCTGTTTTGTTCCTGGTTGCTGCTGCACATATATGAGAATCAAAGTTAACAAAACATTTAGGATTATGTGCATGGGCGTGTACACTAGTACATATACACAAATTCACAAACCTGTTTCTTTTCTTCAAATCTTGCAATACGATGTACAAACCATGCAACTGATATGTGTCCCGCGCCAAAAACCCACTGTCAAACGGCGTGGGGCACATATGACTACATGAAACAGTCGTTGAGTAAGCGCAACTTGTTTTTCTTCAATAGTGACGTCACACACGCGCGCAATGAATTATGCATCAGTCATGTCAGTGAAATGGACTGTACAACTCGGCAGACACATTTAATTGTGAGCGGTAAGTTCAGACTATTTTGTTCTTTTTTCAAAATTACCGGTTGTTTGGAACAATTTAAGGGGTCTTATGGAATGTCATGAATGTGTGGATCTAGCCAGGGTTACTGTCTTTCTCATTTGCATTCTCTTTATCAGTTTTTTGGGGCCTTTTGTCCTCGCGAGGGCATGCACAAAATGCATACCATCATGACGACTGTGTAGGCCTACCTGTCACCAAAGTATGCCAAATCAGTGGAGCGTTTGTACGGAGGGTACCGTAGTTCAACGCTCCACCCAGTAGAGCTAGCTTGGTCTACATGTAGTCCGAAAATTTGGGACTCTCAATACTGTGTATGAGAGTCCCAAACCTAAGGTATTGAAAACATGCAAAACAAGAAAATAGACTGGCACCTGAAACAACCAGTCCAACACAGCTTCAGTACTGCATCAATCAACCTGGACCCGTGAACGTGGCGTTGTATACAAGGCCACGCTGTTGTGTATTTTTGAACCTAGCGAAATCGATCCACCATACATACATGTAATTCCGTATGGATGTTGAGTACTCGCCTAGAAATCTAAATTTGCCCATCCGATTGTTCAGGCTGTGTAATTTCGACAAAATTTGCCATCAATAAAGACCCATACGAACGTGTAGAAATTAGATTTTAACCCGACAAGTGACCCTGACAAATGACCCCGGACGAGTACCCAGGTCATATGCGTGCAAAATTATCGGAGCCCTCTGAGCTACCCGTCTGCTTCCTGCCGCTTGGACAGATTGACGGCTGTTTCATGTCGCAACCCCAAAAATAAAAACCCGCAGACGATTGGCTGCTCGGCTCATCTCGTGTGCGTGTGCGCCCGCGTGTGGTGCGGTGAGAGAGGAAAGGACTTGAAACTTGTCTAAAATGATGTCTCTTTTAGCTGCAACAGTAAACAGCTGTCGAATCATACGAAACAGGACGGTACAATAAAACGGAATGCGCATGCGTCAGTTGGGAGAAAATGGCAGCTAGTAGCAGGACTTCATGAACCGGGGCCAGAATTTTCCTCAAATTTCGTCAAATGCAAGTTTTGACTTACAAACAGATTTTAAGACAGCTTCATATGTTTTTTGTGAGTACTTATTACATGGGCAAAATAACGTCCAGTGTGTGTAACGGAGGGAGTCAGAGGTACATTTTCGCCAGGTTCGAAAATACACAACAGCGTGGCGTAGTTTACAAGCCACGTTCACGGGTCTACAATCAACCTAGACCCGTGAACGTGGCTTGTAAACTACGCCACGTTCTTATGTCATTTCGAACCTGGCGAACGTGTCCCTCTGACTCCCTCCGTTACACACACTGGACGTTATTTTGCCTATGTAATAAGTACTCACATATGAAGCTGTCTTGAATTCTATTTGTACGTCAAAACTTGCATTTGACGAAAATTGAGGAAAATTCTGGCCCCGGTTCATGAAGTCCGTCCGCTACTGCTAGCTGCCATTTTCTCCCAACTGACGCACGCGCATTGCGTTTTATTTTCGTATGATTGACGGCTGTTTACTGTCGCAGCTAAAACAGACATCGTTTTAGACAAGTTTCAAGTCCTTTCCTCTCTCACCGCACCGCACCGCACGCGGTCGCACGTGCGCCCGCGTGTGTGTGCACACACACGTACTGTACACGAGATGAGCCGAGCAGCCAATCGTCTGCGGGTTTTTTTTTTCGGGGTTGCGACATGAAACAGCCGTCAATCTGTCCAAGCGACTCAGACGCGTCCGGGGTTATTTGTCAGGGTCAGGTTAAAATCTAATTTCTACACGTTCGTATGGGTCTTTACTGATGGGCAAATTTCGTCGAAATTACACAGCCGAAACAATCGGACGGGCAAATTTAGATTTCTAGGTGAGTACTCAACACCCATACGGAATTATGTCTGTCGGATCGATTTCGCCAGGTTCGAAATGAAACAAGAACGTGGCGTTGTATACAACGCCACGTTCACGGGTCTACAATCAACCATGCCAACAGAATTTAAGAAACATGTGGCATGAACCGGGAACTAGTCTCAATTTACTACATATTTCTCCATAGTCAAGCCACCAGACTATTGACACTGAGCATGCCGAGTGAAGAGGTCAGTCTTTTCAAATAGTTGGACCATGGTCAATGATGGTTGGACATGTCTACCAGTCTGGTTGGCCCTATTTTCATGATTTTGAAATCACTTGACTTCCCTCTCGAGCTCTCACTCAGTCTCATGTGCAAACTATTGAAGAAAAATCTCCTTTAAAAATTGAATTGAGTCTGCAAACTTGCTTGGTGAAATACTGAGTACCTTTTCTTTGCCCCAGTGGAATTTTTGGAGAAATTTGTTGGCTAAAGTGTGAGTAAAGTGGGCCTGATTTAGTTTTGCATGTTTCAGAGCACATACTAGTACACATGTACTAGCATGACTAGCTGACTAGGCCTAATCGCCAGACCATGTCCGAATGTTAAACATGTTAAAAACTACGCAGTGGCTATTGTTACGGCAGCCGTAACGCATTTCCCATTTTCTATCGTTACGGTAGACTGCAACCTGGCAACTTTTATAAAAAAACATGACAAGAAAATATTAAATTAGAAGGAAAAAAGTGAATTTGAACTTTATGAAATTCGGACTTTATTTCCCTTTTAAAAAAAATCCTCAAAAGCCTCAGGTTAGAAAAGGAAAAAAAATTTGAGTGCAAAACTGAGATTCGAACCCGCAACCTCGCGGTGCAAAATCCTACCCTCTATCGGCTGAGCTGGCGCACTGCTCGATAAAACGTGTGGAAACAAATAATTATATACCTGCGTGCGTATCAAAAAAATATCGTAGAGGGCGCTAAACAACGAGTGCCGTAACGATAGCCACTTCGTAAAAACTAAAATAAAAAGGCGATAAGTTGGGTCCAAGTTACTCGGACTACAATCAAACATAGCTTTATTGTTATAACAAATACAAACTTAAACTTCAGTGAAAAGTAAAACTATTTGACACCTACCGTTCTCTTGAAGAGCAAACAAATGGTATCATGAATGGATGGGGAATCTTGCGAAACTGCAACTTGCAAGCCTTCCGTTGTACAAATCGCAGCGCGCTCGTCGTGGAGTACGAGTCGACTTAGTATCGATTATTTGTCAGTATCGATAATTATTTCTCAGTATCGATAATTATGCTGTTTCGGTTTATTGATACTTATTGTGGGACGGGAACATGTGCAGAATCTTTTTTTAATCGATGTATCATTCAAAAGTTAATAACTTTAATATTTTCGAAACGAAATTCGAAAATAGCACGGGGAACACAACTGGGGTTTTAATGTCAACCCCTTATAATTCCCCATCTTTTGATAAATCATGACCACCCCCCCACATTCGAACGCGTATGTCTCCCATCTACGTACGTACTATCCCCCACCCCCCTCTACATGCAGAAATGCGCGCGTTGTCACGATCCCTTCTTTCAGGGGCGGCGGAACCAGGGGAGGGGGGGGGCAGGGGGCACTTGCCCCCCCCCCCCATTTACCCAAGTGCACCTTTTGCATACATTAATGTGCCCTCTCGCGATGAAAACAAAACTGGCCCTAACATTTCGGAAAATTTGTTTTCAGTAACCGTTTACCAAAATGGTATAGAGAGTTCTGATATGAACGAGGAATATGAAAAGCAAGCCCCCAACTTAACCTTTACAATGCGCCCTGGAAATGGGCACATAATGCGTAGTTTGCATAATGGCCGGTTTTGAAGAGCTCCCCCTATTTTGGAATATGGTCCCCCCCCCCCCCCCCCCCCCCCCACACACACACACAAACACACCCAAGTCTTTTTTTACTATACGCCTGAGGCCAACTATTGTGTTTATGGTGTAAATCGAGGATTTTTTCTTTTCTTCCTCTCCCCTTTTCCCACTGTTTGTATAACTTTTCGCAACAGCTCTAATTGGTTTTGTACACGTTTTCCAACCGAGGAGTCCTCGATTCGGTTTCTGTCCTCGATTCACCGATGGGAGTGTTGCACGTGTGTGTCCTCGATTTACACCATAATCAAACGCATCCAGACACACACTATTTTGATTTTACGGAGGCCAAGTGTCCGATGCAAAAATGTGTCGACATTTCAGCACGGATGTGCCCCCCCCCCCAAAAAAAATGCTGCATAGATAGACGGAATGCACCGACGGAAGATGCCTTTTACTGAGCAAGTGCCCCTTTTTGGTACCCCCCCCCCCCACACTTTGAAAACCATTCCGCCGCCGCTGCCTCCTCTAACAGCTGAATTTGATTTTGTGATAAATTCTGAAACAAACTTGAAACAAACAAAAATATTAAAAAAAAAAAATCAGTTTCCGCCTCTTTACAGAAACAAAATATAGGTCTACACTGAGCCGCCAATTGGTCGTTTTCTGAAGTTTCCTAGTTGCGAAATTTAATGTATACCGTACCTAATTTAGATTGGTTTCAGAGTTTCATTATTAAACCGTCTTGTTCATCTTGTTCAGACTGGTACATTATCTGTGCAAAAACTTATTGATTCCTTTGTTACAATCGAGAAAACATTCGAGTTTGTTTGGTGATCTAAATTCAACAAACAATCAGAGATTTTTGGATCGTAACAACAAGATCAAAGAACTAATGATCACCAAGTTGTTGTGAAAAAGAATCAAGAAAAGTAGAGCAAAAGCAATCTTGAAAAGTGAAGTGTAATTTGAAATTATTGTGGAAAACTGCATGAAATGGGCACTCCTCAAATTTACAAACTTCAGAAACTTTAAAAAAAAATTCAATCATACTGCCCGACATCATCCCTGAAATCTAAGTTTGTGCTTTATTAATTTCCCTTGAAAGTTTGAGTCCGAATCATGGTCCGAATGTACATTTTACCTCCTTTGTATTTAATACCTTTGTTTTGTGGGTTTTAAGCGATCACAAAATCTTAGGCAACCATCAAATATTGATCAATTACATTGCTGTAAAACTTCCGACGAATTCAACCTCGAACTCACTTCTGGTATCGATACCATAATCGAATATCTCGATACTGTTTTGCCTGTGAGTACTTTGGCTGATTGCCCAATCACGCTCGTCTACAGGTGCATGCGTGCGTGAACTGAAGGGTCAAAAGACGACACCATTTGCACAGAGGGGGATTCCTTTCCTCCATAATGTGAATTTGACATTACAACGCACAAAGCTCTTGGTACAATGCAAACAATATTAGTAATAAAAAGCTGAGCACCATCTTATCTACTGGTGATTAATTTAGCATATGGAGACTCTAAAAACTGTAGGGCTTAGACTTCTGAAATAAATTAATAGAAAGAGCTAACCCCAAGAAAAAAAATGTCGTTCATCCGACAAAGATTTCAATGCATTGCGTATGCTTTGTATGCTAATCACTCATTGATGAAGATTTTTTACATGGAGGTCCTAACCATACACAAAGAGATTAATTGGCTTTGTTTGTTTTTCTATATTTATTTGACAATCTCCACGGATGTCTCACAAATAAAAACAAAATATAAGCAACCAGTTATAAATAAAAAAAATTAAATATAAAAACATAGGGTTGTCGACATCGCTGAATTAGGCTAAAATAGCTCCGGGGAAATGTTATTATTTCCGTTGTCTTCACGAAGACAACTTTCAACTGCATAGGTTTCAAATAAGGAAAAGTACGTGCCCCTCTCTTTCTTGATAATTGCCAGAAAATCGAAGCTCGATCGCCACACAAACTGTAAATTTGTGATAGCCCAAGTTGTTTGCGGCTGGTTCCGTGCTAACCCGTTGTGATTTGTTTTCATATTCAGGGGGCTTGAATCAGACCATGGAGCAATCCGTTTTCCTTGCTCCATGATCAGACCAAGGCTAGTCCTGCACATAATTTGCATGCATTATCGGTCCCTACATTCGAAGCCAAACTCCGAAGGACAATAGAGGGACCAGGATACGTGTTCACCTGCCGCACGAGGGCGTACTCAAGTTGTCACAATGAATCGCTGGGTGCGTGTTCGATTAGTTCACCAAAGTCGACTCGGGTACTAAGATCCGTGCAGTTCGATTAGCCAGGCTGACGTCATTCTTGGGGCTCACCCAGGTCACTTGACGTCAGCCACCTCAGACCCTGCTCGTGGAGCAGAGTTACTGGTGGAAATATCCCATAAGAAACGGACAAAAAAGGCGGCCGACACAGCGGATCTGAAAGCTCAAGTGGACCCAAAATGACTTGAAGTATAAACGTAATTATTTATTCAACTTGTTTATTCAGCGTTGGAGAAAACTGGCTCATTTTCAAAAACTGCTCCAAAAGCAAATGTTGTACATTCCCTTTATAAGTCCATTTTGGTCGCACGCGTACTACGTACAACAGAAGAGCTACGTCGCAATGAAGTTGCACAAACTGGTTTACATCTTGTTTGCTTCTGGCTGAAATTTCGGAGTTTGGTTCGGAGTTGTTGAAAGTTGTTGAATGCGCACAAATAGGCAGAACAGGTGTGCGCACATGACTCGACGACTACAAGATTCCCAAGACGTTGTTATGACAGCGGCTCGTTTTGATAACGCCCTCTATAGGTGGATGATCGCGTATAAGTATACAACAATAAGAACAACGTCTTGACCACAGACTACATATGGCGACACTTCTTTGCCTCGGGACAAGACTGGGGGGGGGGGGGGGGGGGGGGGGGGGGGGGGGGGAGGGGCTGGATGTTTTATTGGGCATATCGACATATACTACCTAGAAATGTCCTCTTCTCTATTTATAAAACACTTGCATTACCCCATCTTCAATATGGAATTCTAGCATGGGGAAATACCCATAGTACTTATTTGCATAAATTGTTAATAGTACAGAAGAAGCTGATGAAAGTCATCACAAACTCTGGTTTCAGAGAACACTCTGCGCCCCTTTTTAGACAATATAAAACACTGAATATGTTTGAACTGTACAAATACCATCTAGGAATCCTTATGTTTAAATTCAAAGGTAAACTACTACCTACAAATATCAGGTCCATGTTTGTGAGGAATCTAGATGTCCATTTACATAACACAAGATCAGCCAAAAAAATTCACATTGGCAAGGCTAGGACCGCATCATTCATGAACACAGTTAGACAATAAGGCCCCCTTCTCTGGAATCAGATTACCCCTATACCCTTCTTTCGGACTGTGCATACATTCAAAAGATATCTAAAAAATCTACTTATTTCCGGTATTATATAAGACGTGCACCCATAATTCACATTTGTATAAGTCACATTCCATCATAATCAAATGTTATATTGTAAATTAGTATATTTCAATTTCCTTCAGTTTTCTACTATTATGCCAAGTAATTAATTAATTAATTTATTGACCACTGATTTAAATTATAGCTTTAATTGTTGTTTATTTCATAAGTTATTCACAAACGGGACCAGGCTCTGTATAAGCTTAGGCTTATGGAAATGACAAATGGAAATGAAACAATACAATACAAAATATTGGCGCCCCCACAATAAGGTAGTCTGGTTCCCCAGACCAAAAGATTCTGACTACATGTATTCCTTATGAATCTTAGGTCAGGCAGCCTCCGTGGCTAAAAATAAACATGACGACATTGATGGCCCTTTTTCAAAGCTAGGCTTCGTTTCCGATTTCACTTTATCACTTTTAGCTTTTAATGTTCAATCTGTTTAAAATTTTTAAGTAAACCACTTGCTTCGTAATATCATACAGTTATGATAATACAGTTTGATGTTTCTGTAAGATAACATTGATTAATTTTGATCTGGAATCTTCAAAATTAGGCACCCAAATAGTACTGTTAGCAGGCGGAGCCGAATGAAGACCGAGTTTTGAAAAATCTCAGTAACGATCGTCAAATTCAAAATTGTACATGACGCAGCAAAAAGTTCGCCAATACGATCCGAGTATATTTGATGCACAAAATCGTCGTTGAATTTCAAGTTTTCTAAATGAAAGCAACGAATATTAATTATCAACTCATTTAAAAAAAAATTAATAAGCAATTAGCAGTTAATTAAACCTATATTATATTCGGAAATACTCGGGCGCTATCCGCTTGTCGACGAAACAAATTTGGCAAACTTCGGAAATTTTCGGAAAAAGGAGGAATTCCTCCCGTTTTAGTCACGTGACGTAAATTGTAATACAATGTATTACCGGAGGCTACCGGACCTAAGATTCATCGGGAATAGTCAGAATCTTTTGGTCTGGAAACCAGACTAACAATAAGGAGGCTGCTCCCTTGTCCACGTTTTTTCTATAATAACTATCAAGTATTACATGCACGTGACGCACTTCACAAAGTCATGTACAACAGCATTGGAGAAGTAGCGATAGCAGGCTATGCGATAAACCGAGGCGCTGTTGCTTGGTTACTAATTAAAACGCAAGAAAATGACATTAACGCCACGGCCTCGCCCAATCGAATGCGATAATTGAAGCACTTGTAGTAAAGAGTATGCTACTCGTATCGCAAGGTGCATTGTGTGCTCTGTGTTATCCGAGGTTGAGATCAGTGACACACGCCACCCAACGGCATACCTCAGCTTTTCACTTTTATATCATCGGCATCTTTTATAATACGTACTTTTTTGTTATACGTTACCACATGCCTTAGACATCCAACAATCATGGACAACGCGTCAAGTTTTGTCTCGACAACAACGAGCACAGACCCGATAGATGACGGGCCGCTAACGAGCGGGCCTGATGTCGGTATGACCATCAACGCTATTCTGAAACTCATCTTCTATGTCATCGTCATGATTCTCGGCATATTAGGCAACAGCTTGATCCTGAAAGTCTACTGGTCCAAGCCTCAGAAGACCAGTACCCACGTGTTGATCATGGGTCTGGCTTGGGTTGATCTCATGGTGTGTGTCTGTCGCGTCTACAGTTTGGGTTTCTTCATCTGTGTCCTCCTTGGGCGAGAGCTCCCAAGCGTGTTTACCGTCATCAGCATCTTCAACGCCGTTAATGTTTTTGCGTCTATCACTGTGACAGGTGCCATCGCGGTGGAGCGGTACGACTGCGTCTGTCGACCGGGCAAAAGGCTGCTGAATCACCGCTGGGCCAAGCTCATGAACTTCGGTTCGTACCTCGCCGCCGTTGCAGTGTGTATACCAATCACTATAAACACCCTATCTCCCTCCGTGACCGCCCGCAAAGTCTCTTTGACGTCACCATTGCTTCTCTATCTTGCTGTAGTGTTCGTTGTCGTGATTTGCTACGGGAAAGTCTACCAAGCCATACGGAAACACGTAAAGGTCAATGTACTGAGCCGTCATGGACCAGGGCCCAGTTGGTCCACGGCTGTTGAGGCCGAGAGCAGACGACACGATGCTCCCGTCGTCAAGGGGGTTACTTTCTCGCCAGCTCTGCCATCCTCCGGCAAAGAACCTTTGACAGCTGAGCGGTCCAGACCCAGGTCCGTCTTTGTCGTCTCAGCCACACAAGCCGGACCCTCGACAACCCCCACAGATGCCCGGAGACATCTCGCCGATGTCCCTTCATCAACGGGGAACCGTGCACCGGCATCGCAGAACCACGAGGATGACCGCGAACCGAGGACCCCCAATCCCCAGGCCAGAGACATCCCGTCCGGTACGACGATGGCATTCCAGAGGAAGACAACGCGTATGTTATTCGTCACCAGTGTGGTGTTCCTTGTCACCTGGGTACCCTACTGGCTTTATATCGCTGTCGCTCTTCACAAGACCAACGGCGGTGACGTTCACCCCAACGTGCTGTCGGTCTTGTACAACTGTACGCTGTCTGTGTACATCAACAATGTCGTCAACCCTTTCATCTATGGACTCGCTAGTAGGCGCTTTAGAAAAGACTGTTTTGATGTGCTCAGAAAACTTAAGCCTTGTTGAACGATTCAGCATTCTTTTACCCCCAAAACACCGAGGCAGAATCTCCTCCCTGTACATATATTCACGGTCGCCGTGGCAAAGGTGAAGAAATAATGCAATGTGTTAAGAATTTCACATTAAAATAAAATTAAATTCCAACATTTCAGTATGATAATTGAAATTGCACTGTACAAATCGCCTCACGATGGTCAATAGGATATTACACTTTCTTTATTGTGAATGATCGAGGTTGTTTCATTTGAAAAAAAACCCTGAAGATTGATCTTTTGTGTAATTTCAAGTTCACACTCCCAATTTTATTCTCAGAGAGGAACCACTGTATAGTAAAGACCCAGCGGAGATACATTTTTGTGTGCGTTCTAAAGACCCGATGGCACCCATTATCTCTTAACCATATAAGGAACATGTTCTGATCTCAAGCAATGCTAAGCCATGGTATGTAAACCAAGATATCTTTTTCACTCCTCGCCACATGGATGCACTGAAGGCCTCTTATTTGCTGCTATTTTGTAATTCGTTTTTCCGTTCAAAACCTTGTCAGAGAAACTTTAGGAAAATTTGAAAGATTTTCTAGTTTTTATTGTTGGATGCGATTTTGGGAGCCATTTGTAACATCGAAATTAGCATTGCCCTAAAGCGTACAAAACATTCTATTGCTTTACTGAATTCATAAACCTTTGCTTTTAAATATTGGTTTTATATTTCATAAAATAACTGCCGGGGTATACCTTTGCGATATCTCTGATGTTAAATGATAGTTTCAGTTCGGGAACCCCTGAAAGTTTATGCAGCCATTCAGACTTGAAATAATACATCAAAGCCCTCCAAGCCACCTAGGGTTTGACCAAAAGCGTGCAAAGCAGTATAAGGTTGCACTGCCTCAGACAACTCGAAATGTTAAATTGTGATGTAAACACACTGCCCTCAAGTGGTCTTCAGTGGCGTATCCAAGGGGGGGGGGGGGCGGGGCAGAGGGTGCAGTCGCCCCCCCCCCCCCCCCGGCGGATTTTTGGCACACATTTTTTTGTTCAGCAATATGATTTTAATAAATGGTTAAAGAGTATTGACATAAATCCCCAAAACGAAAAACCCCCTAAAAAAGCATTACAATGCGCCGTGAAAATGGATATAGGCCTATAAGTTGCAGTATGCATAATAATGGTCATTTTTGAAGAGCGCCCCCATTTAGAAGGTGGGCACCAGCCCCCCCCCCCCTCTTGATTTTACGGAGGCCAAGTGTCCGGAAAAACAAACAAACATGTCTTCATTTCGGCGCGGATGTGTGGTTGCCCCCCCCCCCCGACATCCAAAGCTTGATACAATACTGGTGGTCTTTTCTCGTGTATACCAATTACAACACTACTTTCCCTACTATTTAACAAAAGAGTCGTTCAATATATAGTTTTACTTGGTGTTAAATTTATACTTCAGTTGTGCAGTGTTTAAGTCGAGCAAAAACAGGCATTTTGTTCTACTAATGTGTCCACATTGTCCCACGTTTATAATGTAATTTAGCATGTAAACAATCACATCGTTGGTATTTAACTGTGTAAACTGTTTAATTGTAAAACTTGATGTACATGTATAATTATGTTATACGAATCGATACGAGCCTATGTGTTGCTCATAGAGGATGGAAAATAGGACGGGAGAAATTCACGCTGCCAAATCTACAAAGTAAATGCAGTTTTGATTCTGTTCGATAGGATTGATTTATGAGCGTCAAACCATTTGATTTCAATTGCTTTCCTTTATGTTAAAGGTAGAATATATCATTTGCTGCTATCCAAAAAGTAACTGACGAAATTATTGTTGAAAAGCATACTTGGTTAAAGTTGGTTTAAAGATAGTTATGACACTAAACTCCCTGTGAAATTGTTCTTTCTAACATGCTGCAGGGGCGGCGGAACCGGTTTTACCCAAACGCCCCCCGTGTGGACATCAATGTGGCGCCTCGGGCATAACTGTGCCCCCTCAAGATGAATTATGGCTGTAAAATTTCGGATAATTATTTGTTGTCAGTAACCATTTCCCAGAATGGTATAGTTCTGATATGAACGAGGAATATTAAAACCAAGCCCCAAAACCCTTACAATGTGCCCTGAAAATGGGCACATAATGCGTAGTTTGCATATTGACGGCTTTTTAAGAGTGCCCACTATTTTTGAAAATGGTACCAGGCCCCCCCCCCCCTCCGCCATTTGATTTTATGGAGGCCAAGTGTTCGGTGAACAAAACGTGTCGACATTTCAGCACGGATGTGCAGGTGCCCCTTTTTAGTGATGCCCTCAGTTTGAAAAACGTTCCGCCGCTGCATACTGTCATTTTTACAGACGGACGTTTCCAAAGATGTGTCTAAATACGCTTTTTGTAAATTTCCGTTAGTTGTTCGTTTTTAATTCGGTGAAGCCGTTAATGGGTGCGCGCTAGTAGTGTTGACAAGACGCACACGCGGTGCGCACGCGTGGTGGCCTTTATTCGTCAGTTTAGTGTGTGACATCCACTGATCTCTATATAAAGACTGGATAGCGAATATGCATACAACATTCACACAGTAGACTTTGCACATTGACCAATTCGCCCCCGGTCTCACGAAGATGGCCGCGCATAATACGAACGTTCTACGCGTAAATACGCGCGCGTTGTAACAACAGTTGACGTGCATTTTGGTCACGTACACATAATGATGTTCTAAAAGGGACACATTTCCGTAGTGATTGTTATTTTAAAAACGCCGAAAAAGTGATTTGCGGCATTATAAAAGTAACCACAACGTTAGAAAAAATTGTAGTAAACCTTGGTCAGTTGGTCAGTGGTGGTGGCCAAAATATAAGTCAGGTGAACCGCGACGTTACAAAGAAATCATGCTGTCTATAAAGACGGCAACTTGTCCTTTGTAGATCACCAGCCGGTCTCACCAATATGGCGTCAAATTCGTACATTGTGCGGCTCTTTATTAGCTATCCAGTCTTTATATAGAGATCAGTGGTGACATCGCGTAGCTGCAATCGGCTGAATGACAACGTATCCCGGACGCTGATTTCGGGCGCAATTCGAAACATGACACTGCAACTTTAAATTGAAATCGAGATCCTAAATTTTGTCTCGGAATATACAGCATTCACTGAGCTAAAACTTCATCGGGTTAAGTTGTTAAGCACCCTTCTTTAGTTTTTAAGCACTTTTGTTGCTTCAAACGGAAAACGATGCACAAATGACAAATGATAACACTCTACCTTTAATGCATTCTACTTAAATTTGTAGTCGATTAAGTAAATATAAAAAGAGTGATAAAAAGACATTTTTTAGAAGCATGAGTAGAATTAAATGTCAATCGTAAATCAAAGTGCAGTGTTGTAGGCCTATTATTAATGCTAGCCTTCATTTCAGTGATCATGCGATTTACGCTTTCTTTCCAATGTTTTTATTGTATTCCTCTTCAGCATGATAACTCCAAAGACCTTGAAACTTATTTTATTACAAGTCCCTAAGATTGAATTTCATCGAATTACAATAGATCTGTAAACACTGAACAACGCGAGTTTGATGCCTGGTTGTTGCCATAATGCGACGCCAGGGAAATCTGCATGAAAGTGATTCGATTTTGAATGGAAAATGACGTCCAAAGTTAACAACCTTTCCAATGTGGATCCCAAGGTGAACAAACTGACAACTGAAGACGATGGCCACCACACAGTGTTTTTCGATAGATGACAAACCAAAAAAGAAGGGATTGGATGAAAACAAAGATCATGAACATCGATAACGTCTTTTTCTTCACATCTCTGCTGTGGAAATGACAATTAGATACTAGAGAACAACTTAAAGGAAATGTACAACATTTGCTTTTGCTTCAATTTTCAGAAATAAATGGATTTGGAGGATTAGTATGTTCTGGCAAATATTGTTAAACTGACTTGCTTCACGTTTTGGGTTCGGAGATGCTGGGAAATCCAAGAAAACCAACCATGTACTTGTTCCCTGGCTCCACTTAAGATGAAACGGAGCTATTTATAGAATTGTAAGGTCAAAGAATCGGTCTAGCAGGCGTGTACCCCGTGTACCCAAAGGGGAATCAATTGCAAAGAAAATTCTGAATAACTAAATGTGAAAAATTAGGAGCATTTAAAAGAAAAACAGTTTTCTCCAACGCTGGTCGGCCGACCAGCGTTGGAAAAATACAAGTGTTCTTGAAAATTTCAGCACACCAGGAGCCACGATTTTACAGGATACTTTAGACTGTCATTCCCTAACAGTCGAGAAAGAAATTTCGTGATAATTTGATCATTTTGTTTTTCGATGTTTGCAAATGTTGTATCTTCCCTTTAACGTGCAAGGGAACCATTGAATCGAAGAAAGATACGAAGCTGAAAATATATTTGTGTCGCTCTGTCGCGCGGTCAGCATGTCCTGCGGAAACATTTCAGGCGTTGAGAAAGTCAGCACCATGACTGAAGATAAATAAGGGCATGCATCCTTTTATATTCTTTGGTTCTCATGTCTGACCGACCCTATATATTGGACAGAAATTAATGCAGAAAAAATGAATATCAAATTCATGCAATCAGGATGTGTGAAAATCAGGAAAGTAATATCGGATTGTACTAGAAGCACGGCGTATAGCAACCAATTCAATCGCAGAAGATGCAAGGGTGTGACCAAGCATATAGGTGTCTATAGTTTACCATCACTTATATTTCATGGCTGCCACTGCAGCAAAAACGTTTCTAATGAGCTGCATGGTCCGGACAAAGTCAACTCAATCATGCTATGAAATTATTTATATTGTTCAGTTGTGTAAAATCCGCCGTTGCGAGAAACAAAACAATTAGACAACACGCACTCGCCATCATTTCATTTAACTATCTATTCGGTTGCAACTTCAATGTGTTCCTTCAGATTTAATTTTTTTTCTGCTGACCATACTTCAGAGACAAAAAAAATGAAAGCCATATAAATAAAAACGGACGCCCTATACACTCTCTAAACGCTGGTTAAAATTTTGTTGGTTAAAAAAGTTGGTTAACATTTTAACCAACGTTGTGTAAAATGGTCCAATTTCACCCAACGTTTGGCACATTTTGCCCAACGTTGGTTATTTTTTTTTTAACCAACCGTTGGGCTGTTCACCTGTTAAGCAACAGTTGGTTAAAAGTAGTCAATTTACCCAACGATGGTTTAAATCGGGTACATTTTAACCAGTATATTGGGTAAAATTGGGAGTCAGGTTTGGGAGTCAGGTTGGCGTAGCGGTACTTTCCTCGCCTTCCACCGCTGCGACCCAGGTTCGAATCCCGCCTGGGCCAATATGTGTATTGGGTTTTCAGTCCCTACCTGATTCCGTGGGTTTTCCCCAGAATATTCTTCTGTGCTTTTCCTCCCGCCTCTAAAACTGTAACTTCTTCTCTCCACAGGTTTCTTCAGGCTTGCGAGCTACAGTGCCTAGGGCGCTTTTGAGGAATCCTTGGTTTCATTACCAGAAATGATTAAAAATAATAATAAAAAAATGACTACTTTTAACTAACTGTTGCTTACAGGTGAACAGCCCAATGGTTGGTTAAAAAAAAATTAACCAACGTTGGGCAAACGTTGGGCAAAATTGGACAATTTTACACATAACAACGTTGGTTAAAATTTTAACCAACTTTTTTAACCAACAAAATTTTAACCAGCGTTTGGAGAGTGTAAGGACATAAAAAGCGAACACAAACGTACAGGCCAATTATTTTCCCCTCTATCTGCGATGTTCTGCAGAATTGGATGCAAACTGAATATATTTCTTTTCATGCTTTTGAGATCTAATGCATTTCTTGAATGCTAGTGCATTCCCAGCACTGACGAGAATGATTTCCGGATTTTCTGGTTCGCTGGTTCGTTGTCAT